CAAAATGATCTCACCATTTTTTCCCCAAAACTTTAAACAGCCGGCAATGTTCGTCTTGTCATATGCTTTATAATTTCGTAAGATTGCTGGCTAATGGAATTTTCTATTTCCATAAAAAATGTTGCAATAACAACAGATATATAAGACTCCAATCAATTCATGCAGCTGCAATATTTGCTCAATTGTTACGTCTATTCTTTGTAAATTTCAGAGAGTATTCATGTAAGTTATTTACGTCAACACACGAGACAACGTATACTTGAAGATGATGCTTTAATATATCCTAGTCTGGCTTTTAATAAAACTAGAAAAAAGACTTGATTTGTGTAAATTGTTTTGTAAATTTACTCGCTAAAACGTGCATGTACATGTATTAACTTGAACATTCCATATTATTTTTGGTTATATATTTATCATTTGCATAATGTTTTACATGTTTGTGCTGCATATGTTTAAACTAACTAATTTTGAAACCTATTAACTATTTTTAGTTTTGATAATCTTATTTCCATAGATATTATTAAAGTCTAGTACAATGTGTTCAGGAAATATTTTAAGATTATATTTAATGCATAAATTATATTAACAATATGTAAAGCTGATATTGAAAAGTTCTTTTTGAAAAAAAAAATGTTATTAAAGTCTGACAGTAATAAATCTAATAATTGTTTTTTATTTTCTTTTTTAAATTACAGTCATGTACTTATAATGTATAACTCTTTTATTTCTGATGCCGGAAGTTCACAAAACTTTCTTTTACTTTTGAAAAAGAATAATTCCCGTTTGTTACGCTTTCTATTTAACTTCAATTTTCACAATTGCACATTTTATTCGGCTCTTCTCAAGGTATGCAGTGCAAAGCTGTGGTGTTATACGCTTGCGTAAACCTCATTGTTTGCATATTTTATTAATGACTGACTAGTATGCCATACATATACTGAATGTATATAAAGACTAAAGAATGCTTAACCAATTTATAACCCCGATATAAAAAATACGCTTTACCGATATATGGTTGGTAGGATATGGTTGGTTGGTATGCATTTCCTTACTTATCCTCTTTATTCCAGCTAGGACATAAGGCACCAATTCACTACTGATAACACTACCTAGGCATGTAAATTCTTCAACATTTCCCACTGGATGGTTGTCGAGTTTTATTTATTTTTTTAGTATTTACAACCATTACTTTGGTCTTTGCTACGTTGATATTTAAGCCGGTCTTTTTGGAAAATGAATTTAGATCATTTGGGTTGTTGATATTTCTGCCAGATCTACGGCAAAGCCTAAAATCCAATTGTTTGAACATAGTCCACTGTAATACTTTCCTTAATCAAGTCTAACTGAGAATAATTTTACAAATACTTTGCTCGGTACAGAAAGTAGAGTAATTCCTCTCCAATGTAGATCCCCTTTCTTCGGTAGTTTGACAATTACATCCTTGCTCCAGTCTGATGGTATAGTTTCATTGTTCCAGATGTTTTAAAAGATTGATTTAAACTTTACCTTATGTATTAATATCTGATTTTAATAACTCAGCAGGGAACAAATAGCTTTCACTATCTCCTCGAGTTGGTGGGCTCGAGTCTATATTGATGGTATAATGGTGGCTTCGTTTGTCAAAACACTTCCTTGCTTGTCATTGACTTTACTAGCTTTAAAACTTCTGTTTCCTTGTTAGTTGTTTAGTGATCTTGTAAACAGTGCTCATTTCCCCATTAATGACTGCCTTTTCAGCTTTATCGACCAGATTGTCAACATAGCTAAGTCTATCGTTTCTTTCACTTCTTTTCACCTTCCTGTCATTTACTTTGTTATTGTATTGTAGTTGGTTTTGCAGCTTTTGTGACTCTGTGTTTGATATGCATAAGCATGTTTAATATAATAATTATATTTCTTAAAAATATCGTTGAGCACGTTTAATATAATAATTTCAGTTCATAAAGATATCTGTTTTCTTTACATATTACCGAAATACTTCTTTAAGCACAGACACAAATGAAAATGTTTTCCACAGTCAACTTCGTTGCTGTTATAAAAACTGGCATGGTTGGGGGAGATTTCAGTATAAACGCACGTATTTTTAAATCGAAACTGACACATCAATGAGCCCTCGTATTTTTCTGAAGTAAAATAATAGGCATTTCCCTGTGCATTATTTAATATAAAAGTTCCAGTATTCTTTACTTGAATTCTGCGTAATCACAATAAGTCTGTGTCTGAACTTTTTACCTCTTAATTATTTTCATCGATCGCTGTATTTCCTTTTGCATCTTGTCTTTCTAATGTATATAGATCTTCCTGCAACGCGGAAAATCCTAATGGTGTTTAACTTGACATTTTTATTTAAGAAAATATTGTATGTCGGAGCAGCTTCAGACTCTGTTTGCCTCGAGCAGGTTCATGTATCATACGAACCTATAACGGCTCACTGGCCAAATAAGTCACCCATTTATTCACATATGCTCGTATATTTACGTCTGTCAAATATTTTGATTTATTTCTAAATAAGAATTTCCTTATATAATTTCTTGTTATTTATGATTTTCAAATTCTGTAAAATAATACTATCTCAGCTACAAGATAGACCTACACAATATGCAGTAAATGTTTCTCTCGTAAAAGAAAATAGCTTTTATTTTTGCAAGGTAAAGTAATTAAATATTTTCAAATGTTAGGAAGGTTCTAGGACTGAGGACACCAATCGTCACTCAGAGAGTGTTTCATTTTGCCACGGTATTCCCTACACAAAAAAGATAATATAGGACATTTTAGATTTTCGAAGATTACCTAACTCATTGTTCCTATTCAGAACATTACAACTCATTCTTTCCAATTCAAATTCAAGTTCTACGATAAATAACGTTTAGATATGGTATTCGCTTATGGTGACCCACACGATTTTCGTGTCCAAATGACTTCTGGGCATTTTATGTAATTGTAAGACAAAAAGATAGCGCAATTGTATCCGATATCCGTTCATGAAGTTGCTCAAGCTTGTAACGAAAAAAATTTCTCGCGCATCGGGCCTAGGTCCTGCGGGAGTTAGTTAAGATTAATAAACACTATCAGTATGGGTTCCGGTACCTCAATGCCGACAACAAAATTTTAACATTTTTGATTACAATATTATCGACGTTAAATTAGCCGCTAACTAAATATGACTGTTACACTGCCAGAGTTACAGTTAATGAATATCCCGTTTATATCATTTTAGGCGTGACAAACCACAATGATCTCGCTTCAGCTAAACATTTCAGAATATGACAAAATCTTTATAAACAAATGTAGCCTGTACAGCACCATGTAATTGCTTACCACTGCCTTCCTCTGAACATAAGATGTATCCGAGTACATATTTTACCTAAAATAGGCCATTTGTGGGTGTCACTGATATCAAAAATAATGTCCTTATTATTATGTTTGCTAATGTTTGCAAATATTTGTACTTCTTGCCAGTCCCGGCATTACAAAACATCACTTTCTAAGACAAAACCTTCGTTACAAAACAGAAAATTGCACTTGTTTCTTTTCTTTTACATTAAAACTGAGTAAAGTTTGCTTTGCAAGTGAATTTTTCTTCTTTAATTGTCTGTTTCATGTGTTCAGTGAAATGCAATCATTTCATGACAGATAATGCTGCCTGTATGTCCAACAGATATATTTGTTTCAATATTATAGGGCGTAAGGTCAGTAAGGTCAGCTATATTGCAGCGCCTGTAATCAAGCGGTTGGGGGTTCGATCTCCAGATATATAATTGACGTCATTGTGTTATATTTAGCGTAATATCCCGTGCAGAACTATGCATGAGCTGCATGGAAGTTCTATATCTGCTGAATAACACATCTTGTTCCCCATTTCAAAATCATCATTAAGTTTATCAGACTAGATGAACATACAACACGATACATGTTTTATTAATATATTCTTTTATTGAACCAGAAATGATTTGATGGAACTGATGTAACAAGCATTCAAGTTCAGTGAAACTTAGCAATAAATTACACAATCTTTTAATCATTTAGTTTAAAGTCATTGAAATTGACACAATGCTTTTTAACACAAATTTGAACATTATCTTTCACATTTAAAGTGACATTATGCCCATCCAAGTGAATAAATGAGTGAACAGATCAAAGTTAAAAAAAAACAAGTTTTCATTTTGCCATTATTCCTTTTAATGAAAACAATTATTTCATATCAACAATGAACAACGCATGGATCACAACGTTTTTTTTCATATCCATTAGAATTTACCTGTAACGTTCAGTTCATAAAAAGAGTGGGGCAGTCTTTTTATATTTAACGCAGATTTTAAAGTTTATCCAAAACTTTTTCCAATATGAACTGTTGGTCAATCACCATTTTAACAGTCAATATTTTGAAATATATAGTCAGTTCAGCTCAACTTGACTATGAAAATATGAGCATAATATCACTTTAACCCGTTACCCATATATACGCGAAACAACGTACTTGTGGCCCCCCCTTTTTAGACCTGAAATAGTGAAAAAATGTCCTATTTGGGCCCCCAACACATGTTTTCGTTTGAGAAATGTTGCTAAAAAAATTGAGCACTTTTTCGGCTCCCCCCCTCCCATCCAAAAGATACTTCAGTGGGTTGCCAGAAGGGGGATGTGCCCCCTTCTGTTTGGGGGGGGGGTTGAAGGGGGCGGAGTCCCCCTCATCGCCAAGAAAATAAATTTTGGACTTGTGAGAGGCTAAAAATGACCACAGGTCGATCAAAAGGTAACGTGTAACCAACGCTGAAAAGCCTTTGACTCTTCAATCCCTTGCGAAGTTGCAGCACTTTGTAATAAATTTTGATGGAAAAAATCGAGGCAAAATAGTGATTTTTGGCAACGTTGCCATGGTAACAGGAAATTTAAGACTGAGCATGTTGTTACAAAGGCAATGGTCCGTTGAACATTTGTGCCAAGTTTGATTAGTATTGAAGCATTTGTCATAGTTTCATAGCAGTTTGATCTTGTAACAGTGAAAACGGTCATTTTTCACAATATGCTCATGAGGAAAAGGGTTAAATATTCAAATAACAATTCAGTTTTTCGTTTTTTTGCTGAATAAATGCAACTCAAACATATTTATTGTGCTCTGTTTCTAAGTATTAAGCATAATTAGATATATGTGATTAAGCTAAAAAAGGAATAAATTGAAAAAACAAAACTTACTGAACTTGAATGTAAAACATGAAATACAAAACATGATAGAATTTATCAGGTGGTGTTATGCCACACATATCTTTAACAAAGTCCCATAATCTTTAACAAAGTCCTTTAATTGTATCATTTAGATATTTATAGACATTTCGAAATTTATTGACTCAATGAAAAATAGAAAGTTTCTTCTCTTTTGAAGCAGTTTCATTTGACTGAATAACCCAAATACGTTTAAGGTTACCCTTTAATGATTTATGAACTCTGTCGTTTTCAAATAGATGTTTTATTCATTATTATATAATTTCGATTCAAGTATTATGGAAGTTAGGATACTATAATTTCTGATATATCCAATGTTTTGAAATACGTTATTTCTTTAACAACAACAACAACACCAACAATAACAACAACAACAACAACGATGACGACGACAACAACAACAACAACAACAACAACAACAATAACAACCACCACCAACAATAACAACAACGACAATAACAACAACAATAAAAAACAAACCACCAACATAACCAACAACAACAACAACCGCATTCATCATAATCACCAACATCATCAAAATTACCACCATCTTTCACCATTTATTGTTATTACTGTAATTTCTGAGAAATTAATTGTTTGAAATACTTGCATTACTTCTTACAACAACCGTAACCATCAAAATCAAGTCGCTGTGTTATATTTCGTGTAAATATCCCATGCAGAGAACTATGAATGTGTTGCATGTTAGTTTTATGTTTGTTGAATAACACACTTTGTTCCCCTTTTCAAAACCATCATTAAGTTTATCAGACAAGAATAACATACAGCGACATACATGTTTTATTAGAATATTCTTTTATTAGATTTTATACCAGAAATGATTTGATGAAAGAAGCATTCAAGTTCAGTGAAACTCAACAATACATACCATAATCATTTTAATTATTATATTTTAGACACTGAAATTGACAAAATGCTTGTTACACAAACAATACATTTCATTTGAATATTATCTTTAACATTCAAATTTCAATTCAGTTGCTTTTTTCTTTTTTGTTCAATCAATGCAAACCATTTTGAATGATTTATATTATTTTGCTCCAGGGAATATCGATATTGAAATTCGAAAAAGTAAATGCGTTACGAAATGTATATGAAATATTTAATATTTAAATGAATGAGTTTGTTTATTCTACAACTAAATCCACAACTAACTTTAAAATATCAGAGAAATTTTCAACATACACTTAGGTAAGTAGAAATGATTCATTGTAAGAAATGAGAAAAATGGGGAATTCAGTGTCATAAAAAAGTAAAGTGACCCATTATAGCCGCAAAAGACACACTTTGGAGGAGACAGTCTTTGCATCTTCAAAACTAGTCAAAACTCACATGTAATTGTCTCTATATTTAATGAGCCTGATCTTTATCAGTTTATATAGACGTTTAAAATACACAAACGTATATATTGTGGTCTGTCTCTATGTACTAAAAATAATTATATATAATATAATTAAGTTAAAAAAATATTGAAAAAAACAAAACAACAAAACTTACTGAACTTGAATGTAAAACATGGAATACAAAACATGATAGCATTAACAGGTCGTGTAACGCCTCACATATCTTTAACAAAGTCCTATAATTGCAAAGTTTAAGATATACGGAAACACAAATGGCCACATTGTGATTTACATTTGTGTAGATTAAATGCGTGATATTGCTTCAAGACTGTCTAACTTTGACTATACGTAAATCAATACATCTATAGTTATTTTGATCGTGTATTACTGGAATTAGATTTCTTTTATAATTTGCCGTACTTATTAATTCTTACTTTTACAAATATCCGCATTCCTGTTAAATGACGAAGGGCCAAGTGAACACACACTGTCACACACAAGTTTCCTTTACATATAAAAAACTATACCTAATATTAAATGCCTCCGTATTGCTAACACTAATTGCCTTCGTACATCTAACACTATAGCCTCTGTATAGCTAACACTATTTGCCTCCGTAAAGCTTACACTATATGCCTTCGTACAACTAACATTATATGCCTCCGTATAGCTAACATTATTTGCCTCCTTATAGCTAACACTATATGTCTCCGTATTACTGGTTACTATTATTGTTAATATACAATATAATATGGCAAAGATCTGTTTTGATCTGAAAAAGTTTCAGCATTTGACCTTGAATAGAAATTAATAGATGAAATACACACATTGAGAAAATAATCCAAACGCAGAGAGTGGAAAGAGGGCCATAGTGGACCACGATTGTTCAACTAAAATAATATCTTCCAGCTATATGCAAGCCACTAAGACACATAAAAGAGATGATTGTTATGCAAATTTTCTTTACAGGTCACTATGCAAATATGACCCAAGAACATGACATTGACTCCAGAGCAATAATTTATATAACTTGAAAAGTTTCTCAGTGCAATGATACGCATCATCCCTTTGTATGCGATAATGAGCTTATTCTTTTTTTTAACATTAGAGAAAAACGAATTTAAACATTCAAAATCGGTTATTCAGTTGTAAGTTGATTTGAAAAATGTGAAGAATGTGCAGAATAGTTATTATTGGAGTGCTGATCCAGGCAATGATGTCATATATTTTAGATATAATGAAAATAGAAAATCTAAAATAGCTTCTGTCTGTGTCCAAGATTTGAAATGAGCCGAAACCCTTTGAACAACTTTGTAAACATCCCTTCACAAAAAAACATGGTCATATTTGGACCATTTGTTTTAGAGGAAAAAAGCTGTTTTCACAAACACATTGGATATATTTTTGCTAAATGCATCATTAGATTTTAAAATATTTTTATACGAACGTATGTCAGTTTGAAAAAAGAAGATATTTTAAAGAGTAATTTTGATGAGATTACTTAAATACATAATTGTGGCATTTAGATATTTATAGACATTTCGAAACAACAACAACCACCGCCAACAATAATAACAACAACAGCAACAACAACAACGATGACGAGGACAACAACAACAACATTTAAAAACAATCCACCAACACAACCAACAACCGCATTCATCAAAATCACCAACATCATAATCATAATTACCACCATCTTTCACCATTTATTGTTATTATATAATTTCTGAGAAATCAGTCGTTTTGAAATACTTGCGTTACTTCTTACAACAACCGTAACCATCAAAATCATCAACATGAAAATTATCAAAACTACCATCCTCTTTCACCAATCTCAGAGTTCAATGTACCGGTATATTCGACGTTTATAGTAGAGTAAAATATGTTTTGATAATACGTTGAACACATATATACACGCCAAATTACATTGGAACTTGATAGATCAAGAAATGGTGAAAAGATGACCGACGTATAAACGTATATTATATTTTTTTCTTAAATGTAACATTGCTATAATGATACAATCCTATATATATATGAAAGAAAAAAAATCGTTTTTAGTTAGATACTTTAGTTGAGTCTATTCGTTAGAAAAGCTGGTAAATGGAAACTCAGAGAATCGAATCCATTCCTTATTATTGTGCAAGAATAAAACATTACCAGATATATACATACTGGAAGCAATAGATCCAAGAAATAGGGAAATGTAACAGAACTATTGTGAATTTGTAGTTCAGTTCAGTTCATAACATTTACTTTAGCTTGTCCGTTAAGAGCTGCAAATAACCGAGAAAAAAATACTGTATGAGAAATCATTTTAAACAATTATGATTAAACACATTATAAACTCATTATATAGTATTCAATTTAATAAAAGGAATGTAGCGCCACGCCCCGGGAACGGAGAACAAAATGCAGAGTATTCTTTTTTCGCATCACAATATCCTCAAGAGCACAACGCCTACACAACAATGAATGATTAAGAAAAAGTTTGGGACGCCACTCCAAAAGGATTAATACTAAAATACCACATAATGATCACGTAAATTGTAACACCGTCCAAAACCCCTAGAATAAATAAGATTTTTCATTTTTGATATTTCCCCGGTTTATACTCTGCCTTTTAGAAATTGTGGATGTACTTGGGCAAAACGGACAGAAATGCCTTTGCTTATTACTTCAACTATTTACAGTACTGTACTAACAAGATGTTAAAATGATTTGTGCATGATTTTTGTTTTATATCTCCCCGGTTTATCCCTGCCTTTTAGAGATTGTGGACCATTCCTATGTATATATCTTTTTAACTTTTGCATTATAACACTTTATGAGACATGTATTATTTCATTGTCTATTCTAATATTTTCTATCTAGCACTTGTTAAAATGTATACAAAACATTAAATTTTGCTTAAAGCTGGTAACGATTTTATTATCAAAATTCATTTTTATTCTTATTTGTATTCATTATATTTCACTGGATGTTATTCATTTCGAGCGGCACCTCTTCTTTCTTTTTGCAGCACTTCCCAATGATTTCACATACACTTTCATAACCGTCCTTTAAATTTGCAAAAAGTATCAGAGCATCCCGTTTGAGCGCACCTAGATCCATAATAAAAACTATTAAAAATGTAACGGCAAACACTGCTATGCCGGCGTAGCCAATATTTGACGCGCTTTTACGCCCATCAGCAGCGCTTTTCTTCTTTGACATAGTTGCTGCCAGTTTATCGTTGTTAAGCTAAAAACAAAGAACGGCCACATAAAATATATATTTTTGCAAAAGTGAGAAGTAGATAAATATCCAAACTCTAAACCATAAATTAGAAAACATAATAAACTACTAGAACTACATGTACTTCAAATTGATTTTTCACACTACGAGTTATACATGTAAAACAATGTTTTGATATTTATAAAGTAATGATGCCGAACATGTTTGATATTTCTTTTGCATATAATTTGCTTCCATAAAGAGTAAAAAAATTCCTGTGACCAATTCCACCTTTTGTTTGAGTTTACTGAAGTTATTTGTCTAACACGACTTGGACCTTGATTATTATTTATATATACATACTAAAATATCATACAACCATTTAGTTTATCGTCGTTTTACCTTCATGTTTATTTTGTGTTGCAAAATAGAATTTTGCTGTGCTTCAACAAGTTGTTCATGGGTCATATTTCTTTCCTTCTTTAATCTCTCAACCCATGAGCATTTGCACGTGCATGCCTTCCAGCACTGTCCTGGAACATGTTTTATCTCAAAACAAACCGGCTCATCTGGCTTTGTAGTGACGTTCAAACCTAAAATGTTAAACAGCACCTTCAGCGTTGCACATGTCAGCTAAATGAACAAACCACCTTTCTTGATCATTAATAGCAGAATTATATAAACTAAATCAAAATTTGAAATTGAAGTCAGCATTCACAGTATACCTCTGAATTAAATAATAAAAATAAAAGCAATACTTTTATTTAGAAAGTTGACTCCTAGAGTATTGAAAATGTTAAATGTAATATAATCTCAGGGTTTTATGGTGATAGGCATTTAAAGCGGTATATCCTTAAAAATAATTGTGCGAAATTAACAATACCTTTTGTCATAATAGATGATCAAGAAAAAGAAAAATATTAAATGTAAAAAGATCCCGCCCTTTCCATCAAACTTTGTATAAGGACCTCGAACAAAATAGTTTGGATACATAGAGCAGTCTTACATACACTAAAATATAAATATGTAAACAAACAGTTAGCAAATACTTGGATATGTTGCCTTAGTATATGCTATTTTGATTTGCGAATGTCGACCTAACTTAAGTTTATTTAAAGATATAAAAGTTAAAGCTACATTTTGTATATTGTATTTATTATCATGGTTTTACAGAAATTGAAAGTACAATTGTTCATCTATAAGCATTAATTTGAATTTATTTATAATTGCATGTATGTATACATAATTAACAATAAACATGAAGTTTCTTAAGTTAACATTTACCATAATTCCTTAATTTTTAAAATTTACTTTGCATTAACAATAAATAACTCATGTGGCTGTAAATATCTGAATTAACCTCAAACGTTTAATTTGAACATTATGCCCCCACTTGTTTTATAAATTTAAGGCAGATATATATTTTATCGTAAACATTATCCAGTATCAAGTGTTGGTTGATTACCATTAAAAAAGTCAATCTGTTGAAATACATGCATGTAGTCAATTCAGCTCAATTCAACTCGATATTTCAACTCGGTAGTCAATTCAACTCGGTTCATAAGACCGTTTTCTAAATTTTAAAGTCAGTAATAGCTATATACATAATATGATGAAAAATAAATTATGCTTAAATTTACTACTAAATGCTAGTTATTTTTTTACTCATAACCTCAAATTTAGCCTAAAACTTGTGGCTAATTACGTTCTTTCGTTTAGTTTCTATTTTAAAACAATTGAATTTTTAGTAAAATAATTGAAAAAAAAGTGAAATATATAACACTCACTTAAAATTTTGTCACCACCGAAATCTTCCCCAAAGTCCCCATCAAGATCATTATCTGAAGATAAAATAAACATTACGTTACCAATTTTATTTATTTTTGTAATGTAAATATAGATATAACAATTAAAATAAACCCATTTAAATGTTTTTATTTAACAAATGAAAGAAAACGTCTGATAATACTACAATACCGTGTCTTTTTTTCTCGCAAAATAGTTTTATGTCTATTTAATTATTTTTATTATCATATTTTTCATGCGCAGATTTTGATTGTTTGTGCCCTCCTGGGATGCCTGTTGGCCGTCCTGTGTTGCTATTGTTGTTGGTGGATACGCTCATTGAACGCCGCCCTTCCTTTTGCGTGGAATCAATTTTTATATAAATATAATTTCAAAAATTTGTAGTTTATATTCCATATCTTTTTTATGCTTCTTTTATAAACTTTAACTAACACGAAAGCAAACGCATATAATAATTTTGAAAACACATGCTTCTTATTAAGCATATGAATACAAATACAAGACACAACTTAGACCATTGAATATAAATGTTTTTTATATGAATATAACCCTCAATGCTTTACCTTCTTTATAAATCCCGTAACCATCACCATAGAAACCATCTTCATCTATTAAACCATCACAGTCATTGTCAACCCCATCACCGTGTGTTGACTTTGTTATATTGCAGATATTCTTCTTTTGCTAAAATGTAAAATTATTCAAAAGGTATTACAATTAAAGAAGAATTTCAAACATAGTTACTAAGATTTGGCTCTGCGTATTTTTAAAGGGATTTCTTTCAGATCACGATTTGAAGATTTTCGCGAAATTAAACAAGCATTTCAAACAATATGATGTCTACATCAGTTGTTACTAAGATTTTGCCATGAGTATTTTTTTCAAAAGGATACAATTTCTTTCAGATCACGATTTGAAGATTTTTGCGATGTTCACTCATTTCTAAAGTATCATATACATTGAACATAAATGCTTAGCCAAGTAGAAATCAGCAGATATTAAATTGGTACATAACAACAAATCACTAAAATTTTTAAATGACTGTTGTTTGTAATTGCGAGATGCATGATTTGATTATACTTATCTTAAAAACAGACAATAAATTGTTCTAGCTCAAAATAGTTTTTCAATGTATAAATGTACATACATGTTTTCATAAAAATTATTTATAAGAATATCCAAATGAAACATTCTATTGTTGTTTTTTTTTAACAATATTTGCAATATTTATGGAAATTAGGCCCATTAAGGACGGATAAAATTTAACCTAGCTAATTATTCCAAAATGTTGAATATTCACGAAAGCTTAGACTTATGAACTTTCTAATTTGTAGTATTGAAATAATTGATTGATAATGGGTTCGAATAAGAGACAAACAACCTTAGACAGACCCTTTTTTATTTTTGTTGAATATTTGCCGAACTTTCAAAAGAAGAATACTGTAACAATGTCAATTGCCGTCATTGATTGAATAACCTGATACAGCTTAGTAACATCACTATTTTTACCGTAGTTTTATTGTATCCAATGAGTTTTAATAACAGTTGCCAAAGATATTTGAATGTAACATATATTTTGTTTTTGGTTGTATTTTAAGTTGTACAGACACTTTTTCCAAATTTCAAATGTCGACTTTCTAGCTAATGACAGTAGAGGAAGACCTAAGTTGCCCATCCGTGCTTTATTTCAGGCACGAGTGGACAACTGAGTTTAAACTTTATCTCCTGTAAAATATTGAAAAAATATAACCATCTCTTGAATGTTTTTTTTTTCGTAACAGCATGCAATCCTTATATACATGATCACAATGGTAGTAAATATCATTTTAATTATCAATCTATTTGTAGCTTTTTCGTGTTATCTATCACATATAAAATATATCTTAATCATTTTTAAACAATATCATATATAAAGAAATCAAAACTGTATTCCTCACTTGTGAAAGGTATTTTGCTTTTATATTTCCAGGAACGATTAGCCACCTTTTCCCTGAATGCAGCATTGCAATTTCATATTTGGATTTGCCAACACTTATATTCTGTTCGAATAGCTCTAGGTGACTGTCTCTGCCTATCAACATTGTCTCATTGTTTACAACAAGGTTTTCGTCGACCGAAAATGTCGAAAATTCTGTGTTTGTAGTATCTATATCAGAGTAACAATTTGCCGGGACGGATGTCAAAATAGTGTCGTGATGATTTTCAATGGAAGGTAACAAACTGAATGTATATTTGCTGGAATCCTCCCTATCTTCTAGATATAATCCAACCGCGATATTTCCTACTGATGTTAAAAGATACGACACAGATACGTCTATTTCTTGTTCAATCTTGTCTCCTTTGTTATATATTGCATGTTTAGCATCAAAGCCGCCAGATATAGTCACAATATTGTTATCAGTATACGAAACGATGTGCAAAATGCCTTTAAACTGACGTTCATTTGATTCAATTTCAACGGAAGGGACAACGTATTTGTTAGACCACGTGTTAACCGGTAAGAAATAGTTCATAGCATATGTGATATCATGACAATACACCATGGACGGTTTATTAAATTTTAAACTGGTTCCAGAAATTTCATTATGCTTTTCCATTGTAAAAAGAGAATTGTTCTTGACAGAAATGCTCTCAGAGTCATTTAGTGTAAGACCACTTTGAGCAATACCTGAAAAGTATGCTGTTACTTTGACATCTACATGCTCAGATATAAACATGCATTTTGTTTTATCATGTGCAAAAACCATGAACTCTGTCCCAAATGTATCAACTGGGTATATTCTAGAGCTTCTTATAACCGTATTATGTCTACCAGAAATGTAATATACAACTACATCAACATCGTCATCACTTATTATTTTAAAATTAATAATGTTATCCATGTTTGAACAATTATAATATCTTTTGCCATCTTCATCTCCTCGAGTGCTGGTAATAGATACTTCGGGTTTGTCCAAGACATTTTTTGTAATTCCAACGTGGGTATTTTCATTGAGTGATGTTACTAAAATCCAGCATTTTTTAAATTTCTGGGGAGGTAGTTTTACTAGGAATTTTCTACCATAACTATCTGCAAAGCCTGTCATTGAATAAATAAATAAATAAAATATTATGTTTATTTAGTTTGTTAATTTTCATATTGTAAATTTCATTTTCACTGAATTTTAAAATGTGTGCATTAAATTTGTGGTGTAAAGTAAATTTCGCTTTGAATTACAGAAACTATAAATCTTATCTTTATTGGATCCACTTAATGTTTCGATACGATATATATGTTGAAATTGATGAATGCGCGTCATTTTTGTGGTTTCGCCGCGACTGTCCACCGTGTTTAATGATCTAATTCTATTCATAAAATGTATTTAATTTACTGTTTTTTTTGTATTTGTAAGTTCATGAGAAATAATAATTATATTACAATAAATTGATCGACTCTAGAAACATTGTTTCCTTGATGTTCAGTTAAGGTCTTTCCCAAGATTATTATAGAATATTAATTTAATAGTCATTAAGAAGCGACTACTCTTACAAACCACAGGAACCCGGCACAGTGTTGGGATTGTGTAAAAAAGTAATTTTAGAAAAAAATATATAGTTTATATGTAATATATAGCCAAGGGGTTGAAGTCGCCAAATCGGCAGAATGCCACTAATCCAGTATAAGTCCGTATTGCAAAATCATTTTTATGTAAATCCGTATTAAGTTAATTTGCAGCTAAATGACATCACTAAACGTTGACAATAACATTATTGTTCCCACTTAAACCGTTTTTGAACAACAAATCAATATTTCGGATGGAACATCGTATTTTTACTAGGTCGACAACAACCGTGCAACCTGTCATCACTCGATTTTCTACGTGTAAAAACGCAATTCTAAACCATGTCATCGTACCAACCGCAATAAATCACTCTGTTGTCCTCAAATCATCGCAAGCTGTTTATGATCTATAGTTTCGTTAAAATAAGCAAGGATTCTAGGTTATATTGGTAACTTACATATTCCACAATATTTTGCACAATAGTATTTCGCAAAGTCTGCATATCGTGTACAAAAGCCTTCTTCATACTTAGAACAATTCACAAATCTGTCTGTACAGCGCCATCCTGAAATGTGATAAATAAGTATTACGGGTTCATAAACATTTGTCATGAGTCGCCGCTTCCTGTGACCTTCCTATTCGTTTAAAACGATAAAATGACAAACATGTCCGGAAAATGACGAAACTTTAGGGACAATGAGGAAAGATTCCGGAAGTAAAAGAGCCAGTCTTAAAGTGACATTATGTCCATTTAATGATGTAAAGTTAATGAACAGGTGAAAGTCAGAATAATTTTATATTTGCCATAATTCTTTCCAATTCTATAATTCACTTCGCATTCATGAACGATAAATAAATCACGTGGAACAAGGAAATTTCTATTGATATCCATTAGAATTTACCTGTAACATTCAATATATATAAAGAGAAAGCAGTTTTTTTTAATATTTTAGGCATATTTTTATTTCATCTTAAACATTTTTCTAATATCAACTGCTGGTTATTCATCATTATAACTGTCAAACTATTTATAAATATATAGTCAATTCAGTTCAATTTGACAATGAAAAAATGAGCGTAATGTCACTTTAAGGGAACATGTTTACATCTGATATGTAGAGGATATTGAATGAATGTAAATTTAATACCAAATTTAATTGGAGGAGTTGAATAAAGCCATATAACGCGAGCCTCTGCCAAGCGTACTACAGGTTGAATATAATTATTATTACGTTTTCACGAATATAAAGACCGCCTCCGATGTCGAGGGGTTAGAGTCGATGACTTCTAATCCAGTTACCTCTCCGGCATGGGTTCGATCCCCGGGAGATGCTTTGGTAGTTTAGCACGGAGGAAGGTAGTCTAGTACTGGTGTAACTCTCCGGGAACGATGGTTAGGAAACTACCCGTCTATATCACTGAAATACTGTTGCGAAAAGTCGTAAAATGAAACAAACAAACAGACAAACAAACAAACACAATTATAATACTCTATTATTTACTGAACTTAAAAATATAAAATTTTACAACCTAGTCATTTTTCATTGACGTGCCTATATTGTAACGCTGACGTTTTGACACTTTTAACATAATGCAAATTAATGACGTGACGTTGGTGATTTCCAGAAAATATATTTTTAGAAATTGCAAGTGTATTAAAGACGTAAATTCACTTAAGAGACTGACAGGGATGTGGAAATCGGCCAGCAAAATAAATATTGATCCTCGGAATTATTGGAGCCCTCACCTTTTTGGGCTCGAGCACAAACCGTTTCTCGGGACTATGCAGACATTATAACTCGGAAAAAACGCGCGTTAGTCGTATATAAACTACGCTGGTGTAGTTACATTTTGTTGTGTCGTCATATATTTGCGTTATATAAAAACATGGCGTTAACGAGCGCCCATTATTTTATTTTAATTACTTCAATATTAAATGGTTGAAACTATTGTTTTTGTAGGGTTGAATACCTCATATACTTTGTCCACTAGTAGTATTTTCTTCTTATTATTAATTTTCCCACTATTCTTTATATTTCCATAAAAAAATATGCTTTAGTGTTATCATAAAAGGAAGTGATCATAAAAAACAGAATTAAAATTTACAGCTACCTGTTTTGATGACGTAACATGTGTCGACATTCTTTCAGTTTTTGCACGTGCTCGTTTTTAGCGGGCCAATTACGATTATAAGTTTCGGCCGCGGTTCGCCAACTCATAATTGGTCACGTGACAGTCATTATCACTTAAAATCATAGGCAATTTTATGACGACTTTTATATAGTAACAAATTTTATAATTGAACTAGCAGTTTTATTAACAGGAGTGAGAGGATCAATTTGGAAGCTTGACTTAACGGCATACCATGCTTACATGATCAATTCAAATAAAAACTACATATAAATAATGTTTATTGAATGTGCACCAAATATCAATAATTGAAAGAATGTATCTCTTTAAAGTAAATTTATAAGAAAACTTAAAGTTAATTTGAACCACCCTCGAGTCCGCATTTTGGAACTTCAAATTAGAAAACATTGTCGAAAGAAGACAAAAAAAAACCTGACACCATGGTACAACTCTTTGTTTAGAACGAAGGTTCCCTTTGATCGGGACAGATGTATATTACATGTCTGACGGAAAAAAAACTACATTTTTAATTTAAAAAATCCAACCAAACATTTACAAATGTTTTACAAGTTTGAGCCAAAGTTTACCTATCCCCATTTATGTTGATTTCAATTTTCGCTTACCAGTTTCGTATTCCGTGCAACCATTAACATGTATCAAATCTGAAATAAATGATAAGATTCAATAGAGGCGAATCTACTCTTTATTCCTTTCCAACTTAGAGGAAAAACATAATTTTCTGTATTAAAATTAAAATTATAGAAGAATTAATTCGAAAAAGTGTGTGAATATACAAATGTGTTTTTTATGATCGGGTGAAATCAATAAGGAAAATATGAATAAATAAAGTATAAATACACACCCCAATTAAAGGTCGCCTCCGCAACTGTGCCCATCATTGAAACATTTGTGATAGAGTCATTCGTTCGAATTCGTATTACATTGTCCCGTGTGGAACCTTGAACACATTCGTCTTCGTTGTGATAGCCAGTTCCAAGACAAAAAATACTATTAACTTGCCGGAACCAGAAAAACGACATGTCTGATGTACAGCTGATACCTGCCTCTTTGTTGAAACTAAAATAGTATAAATGTTTCATTTGATTTCACTGACTTTTTAGACTGTAAATGACAAGCGAATGAATCTAAAAAGAAATCCATAAAAAAATCAAGGTGACATGACAGGAAAAAGCATTGGAATTTCATTCTCACGAAATGCGACAAAAATGCAACGGGCGGATTAAAAAACGAACAAACAAACAAAAACTGTTATATTGACTAATGAAATAATATTACTTTTTATTTCACGAAAAATGTTCTGTTATAAAATATTTTTTACGATACACCAATCGATAAAAAAAATACCGGATTAAACCCATATACAATGGATTAAAACTAAAAACTGAAAATGTGTCCACAGGACACAGATGCCCCCATATTCCACTGTTTTGTAAGTCTCCTGACGTACAACAGGACAGTATGACAGACGGACAGACAAAGGAAATTCTTCAGGACTTCCCTTACCCCTACGTGGTTGGGTCATATAAATAATATCCAAGTTTCTAATATTGAGCTGGTAGAAATTCAAACATCAACTTTTTATATCCTAAAGTATGCTTGAACAAACAAAAACAAGCAAAACTGCAGATGCACAACTACTTATGCTAACCAACATTTCTGAAAAGTTTCATTACTCTGAGTCAAACATTTTTGAGTAAAGCGCGACACTAATTTCAAGTTTTACTTAAATCAAAAGCAATAACTCTACAAATACTGACTCAATCAATAAGCAAACCCAAGGTGCAAAAATACACATTCCGACCGAAATTACTGCAAAGTTTCAAGACTCAAATCGAATCTTATTTGAGACCAGGCGACCTAATTTTTACTGTCAAGGGCAATTACTCTTACAAAACTGGATTAATCAACACGCGAATCCCCAGGTACACAACTTCATGGTGATCAACATTCCTGTGAAGTTTGTTGACTTAGGCTCGAGCACCATAAGAGCTTCACGTCACACAACATTTTGGAATGGAGGCACGCACGCACAAACTGACAAGGGCAAATCTAAATGCCACCTTCCCCCTAGTGTGAGGGTATAAATATACTATAGGCGTGTATTTATTTTAAATGTTTAAAGTTGTATAAACGGTTACAACTATTATCTTAAACACCTAACTTTTAATCAGTTTCTTACATGTAAACTATTTACAATTTACAGTTAACATTTTAGCCTAAATTTAAACGCTGCATTTTGCTTTGTTTCCCTACCTTTCTGTTGTAGCATTTGTATTTTTATTGTTTGATCGATAAAAGAAAAACGAACATAAACAAAAATGGTTTATGATCGTTATCATTTGATTTATATAATATATAATTAAACCAATGATTTCAATTATCACCAATCGAATATTTCTGTTCTTTGTCGTCAATTATTTTCATATTGATATCTGATCGTTGATGTTCTAGTCATTAATTATATCGAAGTTTCTTTTTGAATGCTAAAATTCATTCAAGGGTACTGCATATATAAATAAACAATCAGTTGTTGTTACACCAGTAGACATAATATAATGCATTGCGCAAGTGGTAAAAGTCATATGAAAGTTAATGTATTGTACATTCAGATAATGGCTATTGATTATTTTTAATTACTTGTTTAAAGAAAACCTGTCCCCGGACAGCACGCTCGATATAAATATAAAACTTAGTAGAAAAGGGGGAATCATTCTGCAATCGTGCTTGACAGACATATCTACTACGATGGTACATATTTTAGGTTAAGATGTGAATTTGATAAAATGTAAATATTTTGAGTAAAAGGGACATTCATGATAACCTCACCCTAAGAAATGCACTATATTGTAAGTGATCAAGTACTTAATGATTTAAGTGAATATGTTTGATATTTTTGAGAAAAATACCATCCCAAAAAGGTAAAGCCTGAAACTCGAATTCTTAAAATACCATTTCTTTGCAAAATTAAAATGTTTTATTTATTACAAAGAATTGGTCTTGACAATAGCTCCATTTTTGTCTTCAAAAAGTGGAGCTAACAATGGTTTTATTTTGACAACCGTTAAGATTAATAAATAAATAAGAAAATTAAAAGGGGCTTTAAGAAACTTGTGTGTTAATACTAGATAGAACCCAGATGATATTTATTATTTGCTTCTAAATAGAAAGAAGGCGGATATTTATATTGTGCTTGTATTTAAATACCTTTGCAGACTCCTCCAGGATATTCAGGAGTTTCAACAGGAATCGTTCCGAGCACATTCTGTATAAAGAAGTAGGGTTTATCCTTTATTGCAAGACAAATATATAGGAACAGGAAGAAATACAAATATTTTGTAACACTTATTTATGTATTATGTAAGTATTTCCAATTTTTCAAACACCAACTGTAAATCCAATCAAACAATAAATAGTCTAATATAAGTGAATCATACGTTTATAGGGAAAATGGTCGCATAAAATGAGTTAAATATTTAAAAAAACATCGCTAGCAAGGATTTAGCTGCAAAAACATTAAGCATGTTTTCTGTTTCAAAATAATATTTTGTGCATCACTTTCACATGTTTGATATATAAAACGTTTTATAGAAAAATAAAATTAAGGTTTATAAGACAAAATAAGTGCAACATGTTTTTTTTTGTTTCAACGAATTCTTATCAAATACGCTCCTATTCCGAAAACTAGACAGGCATCAGGAAGTGTAAGTGCATTTCATTTCGATAAAAATATCTTTCAGTATTATAATTGCTAAAATTAAGGAACACCTATTCAACTGCAAGAAATGATAATGCCTATAATTGTATGAGGGGCATATTTAAATTGTGGCAGTGTGTTTTTAAATATAAGTCATACCTGTGGAAGTTGAGCTTTTCAAAATATTCACCATGTACACCTACCCATATTATCAATTCAAAATCCATTATTAAAAACATTTTTGAACTCTTCCTTTGGTCTACTGTTTATGCACCTGTAGAGACCACTTGCGAAGCACTACGGTTTTGGAATCGGCGACAGCGAAGGCAAGATTTGATGTATAGATTTAACCAAAAGTTACAAGGAGAGTGGTCATGACTACAATCAGAATATAGCAAAACCTCAATTCTCTGTTCCTCTAAATAAGGCTCTTATTAAAGGCTGACCGGTGCGCAGTTGCATTATCATGGAGTTATTTGATTCCTGCACGACCCGGATATTGAGTTCTTTGTAGTATAGTGATTACCTACAGCAGTGAGAGCACGGAAAATGTTCTAGTGACATTACCCCTCTTAGGCACAGCGACACGGGCCACTGTTCCATCCCTGTCACAATATTGAGCGCGCGCATACAACTATTTTAACGTTCAAGCTACGTAAAGTAACAATTTTAGTGATCGTTGTTTCACCTACCAACATTTCGTTACTAAGTTACTTTTGATTGACGGACACAAAAAAGCAAAGTTCCATCCCCAGTGACAATTTCTCTCAGGTGTCTAGGGTCTCGATTTTGAACCTAGTCAATATGGCAAAGGCTTTTTCAACCCGCACCATTTTGTGGTCAAAAGTTAGCAAATGCGGGATTTAAGGTCGATATGTCACCAACCTCTTGCATCTGCATCAACAAAAGCTTTACACGTTCAAATTCAGTCAAACAGAGTCTGCAATTTTCATAGAATTATGCTTTTTTAAATGCGGAAATTGGCCGCCCATGTCAGGGATCATCCTTTACGTTAGTTTTACCTACCATAAACATTGACACTCGACTGTGCAATTGTAAGATATGGAAGGGCATTACCTCAATTAGCTAAATTACCTCCATTAGCTTAATCTATATTCGTTTTTTATATCCGACGTGCATTTACTCAAAAACCCACAAATTTTGCAATAAGATCTTGCTCCTCTCAAATTACAATGCAACTCGGCCATGTTTACAATCAGTTTACTTAAATAGAGAAAAACAGAATCTCTAAAGAAAGCTCAACACGGCAAAATTGTAAAATTGAGCGGTACTCAATTCTCAAAGAGCGGTTCTCAATTCTCAACACTTAATAGTGCTGGCATCAATGATCCCGAAGGACCAGAAAAATATAACAACACTGAAGTGAAAAACGGGGTAACTTTTTACAGCTGCCACACAGCACTTGACACCCGCCGTTGTTAAGTATAAATATCTGGAAACAAAGTGATCCTTCGGAAGCATAAATCACAACAAAATTACACGAGAATTACAGACTCGGTTTGATTGAGTTGTTGCCTCAAATTTAAAGATGCCCCTCGTATATCATGTATTTATTTAAACGTAAATTTGTTTAAAGATGTATATGTAATTGCAGACATAATTATTGTTTTGGTCAATGTTTGCAAATCACTTTGATACCTGGTTCTTTATCAAAAGTTGCAATGCTTAACGCTATGTACATATGGTACCAAATAAAGAGACAAATACACAAAGGTGGAGAATCTTAATATTGCAACAGAGAACAAAAAGGTGAAGTTTCATCCAATTCCCTTCAGAAGTTGTGACACCAACTTACACGCAAAACCCTAACTAAAGTGTGACGGCGACACTGACACCGACACCGAGGTGAATACAATAGTTATTGTCTTCCTTCAAATAGTCTAGCTTTAATGTATATAATTTAGAATTAAGTTCAATAAAATGATAATACATTAACACATATACACATATACTGAAAATTTAGAGCTATTTTCTAACCGATGTTGATTTTTTGTATGCATTATCAAGGAATAGAAATAACAAAATCAACTGCGTCGCATCCAAAGTGTAGATATAAAATGCATATCTTACCTCATTGTATAGAATTCCAACTGGCAACAAAATAGTCTGCCCACATTTAAGAATTCCGCTTATGTTAGACGCATCATTTTTCAGACTTTGGACACTTCCACTAGCGTTTCCAAGAATGTTCCCTATAACGTATTTTGTGTATTTCACCCGTGAACGGTCTGTTGTATTCGTACACGACTGAAAGTCATTATGGTATGCAGGTTCCACAGCAGTGTATGTGCATGATTCTTTTTCTGCAATAATATTTACTGTTTTTTTATTGATGGAGATCGGGCTGTGAACACTGTTCTAGGAAAATTCAGTAATAAACGAGGTTATCAAATGCTACAATGCAAAATATATTGTAACATACATTTGCAAGTGAAATACTTAAATATTTTTAATGATTTTCTTTACATAAACATCTCGAAGCATAACATGTTTTAAGTTTAATTTGTAAACTTTGATAATATGTTTGACTCATTCCAATATCAAAACAATTGCTTGGATAAATCACTGTCTAACTCATTTCAACAATAAATGGTCTTAATCATAAAAGGTAAACAAGATAACACATTCGCTAGAGAACGTCCAAAACGACAAAATTGAAAATGTTGCAGACTTGGTATCATTCAGCCTGGTCACTGGAAAGCGCAAGTTACCGTCAATACCCGTAGCGCCGACTTAAGCAGAAGTCAACATTTAAACATGACAATGGTGACATTTTAAATTTAGAAACATTTGGAGATGTGTTCATACGGTGGTAAAGATAGAACTCTCAATATGACACTTTCGTTCCATTCCTAGAAAAGCGGCGTAAGGTACCCGTGTGTCCTTAACGAACTAACAATGGGCGAAACTCAGCAAAATGGAATTTTGAAAGAGAATAAGAGGAAAGAAGCCTGCATATTACATACAAGACGTCAAAAACCAATTAAAAAAACATCCACCATATCCTAAGTGTGATCATACGATATGCAAGAAGAACTAATACTCGAACCATCCAAGTTTGAAAAAGGAAATAGTAGGAAACTAAATATACCACAAACAAGTACACACAACAATAATGTTGTGCTTAACAATCTTGAAGGATCGACATATTATATCTTTGATTAATTGTACGTGGCGACATTTTTTTACAGCGTCCACACGGCACTGATGTGGCTATCAAGTTTATAATGTTTGAATTCAGACAGAAATGCAAAATGAAAAGATAACTTATTTCGTGAATATGCTTATGCGAATCTTTAAAGATATGTTTTACCTGATACAATTTGAAATTGCGTGGTTGAGTAATTAACCGGACAAGCAACTTTAAAGGATTGCCTGGCATTGTGAACTGATGGAACTACAGTCATACTCAGCATTGATGTTTCATCCTCTGTGGCGTATGTTAGTCCAGATATCTGAATAACCTAAAAATATGAACAAATCTTACTTACTTAGAACTTACTCAATTGTTTTAAAAGTTGATGATTACACTAATGATTAATTTTCAGCAGCAACAATCCGATGATGATATTTATAAGAAGAAGATGACAATAAAAATTATATGTTTAATAATAATAATGATGATTATAATAATAATAATAATAATAATAATAATAATAATAATTGGAATTATAATAATAATAATAACGATAAATACTTAAAAAGACACAATGAGAGGAAAGGAATAAGAACTTTAAACTCAAGCACTTATATTTCGAACAAACACGAATAAACTGTACCTGTATTGGGTGCGAAGCCAGTATATGACTTCTCATTCCATTGCTAAGCCGTCGTGTCACGGTCTGATATCTCTCTGTCATATTGAAGGACGGGAAGCCACTCATGGTTACCACCGTGCTTGTATAGTGACTCACTATCTTCAAAATATCACCATATCCATTAGAGCCT